ATAAGCACATATACACACACACAGAATAAGATAGATAACATGAAATTGAACAAAACAAAAGAAACACCACACAGGACCCCTCAGGATGGAACAAGAACCAACAACAAAGTGATGATGGATAACGAATAACATTAAGAAGGAGAAACACACGAAAAAAATAACAAAAGATAAAAAACTGTTAATGAGATAAATAAAGGATAAGAGAAAATACAGAAAAAGAGTGAATGAAGTGACGATAACAAGAGATAGATGAGAGATAGGAGAACACACAGAGAGAGACGAAAGTGGGAATGAAGAGATAATGATAAAATTAGAGGCAGAAGGAAGTAGAGTTACAGGGAGGAGGAGGAGCCATCAGCGTCTGGAGGAGGAAGATTCCTTGCTAGGAAGTTATAATGAGGAGACATGCCATTAGTGAGGCGCTGTGTACAAGGTGTAGGCTGGTACACCTGCCGGGGGGGGGGTATAGCCACCCACACACACGCACACACATACATGCACACACACGCACACACATCAGGTGAAATATCAGGTGAAAGAAACTCTGCTAATCATATCTGTTATGATATGTACACATGAGTGTTGACACTGATGTACACATGAGTGTTGACACTGATGTACACATGAGTGCCAACACTGGTGTACACATGGGTGCCAACACTGGTGTACACATGAGTGCCAACACTGGTGTACACATGGGTGCCAACACTGGTGTACACATGGGTGCCAACACTGGTGTACACATGGGTGCCAACACTGGTGTACACATGGGTGCCAACACTGGTGTACACATGGGTGCCAACACTGGTGTACACATGGGTGCCAACACTGGTGTACACATGGGTGCCAACACTGGTGTACACATGGGTGCCAACACTGGTGTACACATGGGTGCCAAATAACCAGAAGCCACAATAAAGAGACTAGCCAGTAAATCCCTGATAATTACCATGTTAATGTCAGCCAGTCATGCCACACTGACACAGCGGTAAAAACTCAAACTAATATCACAAATCTAGTTAATGTTCGATCATAATCTTGCTTGCTGGCGTAATAATTACACCGTATATATAAAACCCTTCAGATTCCTGCTGTAACAAAATATACTCATACTATATTAATATATCACCACTATAACTGGCACTATGGTGCCACTATCACTACATCTTAGATTTAGACGGAGAAGGATTATTTGTAAGTGATTAAGTTAAATCTTCAAAGTTGTGCCTGGAGTGCTCAGGTCTAAAGCAGTAAAGAACATACAGCTCACAGTTTAAGTGATTAGAATTGCCTTGGCAAAAGCATTGAGCAACAAATTTGAATGATGGTGAACACCTTTGAAGACTAGATAACATAAACTAATTATACAATGAAGTTCTAGAAATTTGTTGAGCCTCATCATTTTACATTTAGAGATTGATGGACTAGTCTGGATCAACGTGACTATGATGAACGCACACTTGTAAGAGAGATCTGGTTTCTCAGAGCGCGTGAAGGAAAATCAGATTTTTGGGAATTTTTTTTAGAATTATCAAGGGAAAGCGCCAAGCCATTACGACTATATAGCACTGGGAAGAGGTCAGGGTAAGGATTTGGGATGGGACGGGCGGGAAGGAATGGTGTCCCAATCACTTGGACGGTCGTGGATTGAACGCCGACCTCCATGAAGCGAAACCGTCGCTCTACCGTCCAGCCCAAGTGGTTGGGTTGAACCATGTTGTGCTGCTTGAGTTTGAAGCACAGTAAATGAGGCCCCAAGATGCACATGTCTTGCCTACCTGAGACACCTTTCATCACGCAGTGATAGTGAAAGATGCAACGGACTGTCCAATTCTGCAACTTATTAAAATACTATGAAAACGTCGCCATTACTATTAATTTACGCTACAAACCACATTTACGAGATGTGAGAATTTTGTAAGTGGTTGTAGTTTGGTCGTCAACATGTTGCGAAAAAGATTTATACACAGTGGAGGTTTATCTGGCGGTTCCGAGAGGTGTCCCTTGTGTGGTAGAATATTCCTGCAGGAAGGAGGTGTGGCAACACTGTGGAGGGAGGAGGGTAGGGGAGGCTATATCTACCTCTCTGGTATATCTCTGGTATACTCCTCTCTGGTAGTATACCAGAGAGGAAGGTATCTCTGTTACATAGACGTAGACCAGACACATGTATTATGTATTACAGAGCCTGCATCTGCGGCTTACATCTTGTTAATTGCTTGATGTGAGAACACGGACATAAGTCCTTAACTAGACGTTGTTACCTCACGATCGATGAAATGTGTGGGTTGTAATGAGATAAATGAGGTTCAATGAGGTTCATAACGTAATGAGCTTCATTTCCCATCAGCAGCTGGGAAATAAACGATTCAACACTGACATGTGAACTCATATCTGCAACATCCTCCTCATATCAGACAAAATCAGTCTCCTCATTACAAATATTAACGGAATTAAACGACGCATTACACACACACAACATTTATTTAGTCATATGATATGATGCTATCAGGTTACTGTTAATGAAAGCTAAATGTAACAACGAATTAACAAAATATATAATTTTTGAAATGGGTGAAATTAATATTTTAGTATATTCATACAAATAACAACGAGATGGGTATAGTCTTCTGCAAAAAAATATGAAATTTCATGTCTGGCATTATTTGTCTGTTATATGACACAGCTTTAATGTGCGGGAGATCTTATTACGGCGTGACAGTTCTGTCTGTCTGTCTGTCTGTCTGTCTGTCTGTCTGTCTGTCTGTCTGTCTGTCTGTCTGTCTCCTCTCTCTCTCTATGTGTGTGTCTCTCTCACATACACTGTACCCTGGGGATGTGTTTGTGTGAAACAGAGAGAGAGAACTATATGTAATAGATATAATAGAGGAAAATAGATCTGAAGTCGGAATATCACACAACCGACGGTTAGAAAGGCGGGGACCAAGAGCTAATAGTTCTATCCTGCAGGCACAAATAGTATATACAAACAGCAGATATACACACAAACGTATGTCATGTAGTGACTAGGGTCACCAAATAGCACTAACAATAAGTACAAATAATAAGAAATCAATAAATCAAACAATTATATAATCCTGAGACATGAGCCAACTACTTCAGCTGCCGCTCTCTCAATAACGTGAGCCTCGACCCATTTCCCAGCTTGTGCCGTCGCCAGTTACGGAAACGTTCAGGGTGATTACCGTAGAGTTTATCTCTTTCAACGATTGGCTTTTAGTATCACTGCTACGTTATTCACTCTTGTGTTGATGATATCCTCATAATGCACCTCCGAGTCTGCCAGTGTAGACTACTTATCACATGCCTCTGTATGACTAACCATCCTGTGTAATGGGGATTTTTAGCACCACGTAGCTAGCTTTGTGACACACTGTACTATCCTTTATATAGTCTAGGGCAGCTGCACAAATGCAGATGTACCAAATGTGTTAATAAAATAATCCTTCAGTATTCAGCACCCATCGACTATGTTTAAAATATTAATCAGTTACTGACACCACACACACACTTCCTTCTCAATGTCCATTGTCGCAGTTTCGCTCAAAAACATTGGCTGCTAATACCTCGGTTGTCACAGATGTAACCTGTTTCATCACTGTTAAAACTGCACTTTCAATTTCATTAAGACTCAGCAGTAATCTTGAAGGCGCAATCCTACCCACAAACTCCAAGATGGTTCGATACACATGCTTGATCCAACTATCTTGGGTCCAGCACCTCTTGCAGGTCTACCTTCAGATACAACCACCTGGTGCATCTGGTCCCTTTAAGATTTACATTCACAATACCGAGAAGAACCTCTTCTCTTTTGTCCCACTTCAAGGCTGGCCATTAGGTCCTGGCCCACTCCAAGATTGGCTGCAACTTCCTTGTCCCCTCCGAGGTTGGCCTCTACGTCCTGGCCCAGGACCTCCAAGAGACAAGGATGGACAGCTTCCGTCAGAGGCATCCGTCCATTACCTCCGCGGGCTCCTTCCATCTCCCGACAACTGTCTCTGGCAGTCAAATCAATCCCCCAAATTCCCCAGAATTGACAGCAGATCCTTTCTTCACGACAGTTAATACTGGAGTGAGTGACCTCTCGCCTCATACTCATATATATATGTATATGTATATATATATATATATACATATATGTATATATATGTACATACTCATACATATATATGGTCTCACTCTGTTGTTTTTCTCCGTATATGATTATAGAACAGCTTTCATTGTTCCTCAGCTTTTTCATTAATGTCATTTCCAAATTACTTCTCAGGTTCTCTCCTAAATTGGGTGTATTCTGGTTCGCTTCAGTAACTCTCTATTCTCCTCTGTTTCCAGTTCTCTGTAATGTGTCCAGGGTTTCTTTGTCGTTTCATTAGCTACCCTGTGTTGTCTATTGCACCAGGAGTGTACTACACTATCTCGTCGCCTCCATCGTGAGTGGTGTGAACATCTCCGTTGCATCACCACATTTCTCAGCAATAAATTCATTATGTAACTTGCTGTCTTCCCTTCCACGTCTGTAATCTCTCTCTTCTTCAGCAGGTTTGTGTAACCAACTCCTGCAGCTCCACTATGTATTCTGGCATGATAGTGTAGTGGTCTCCTAGAGGTGGTGGTGGTGGTGATAGTGATAGTGGTGGTGGTGGTGGTGGTGGGTGGTGGTGATGGTGGTGGTAGTGGTGGTGGTGGCGGCGGTCATTAGGTGTGGTGTTCCCTTTAGACGAGCGGAGTCGTTACAAATGATCTTCGTTGGACCAGCTGTTCAAGGGGGATTACCCTCGGTCCTTTCTTCCATCCCCCCATTACTCTCCCCCACTTTCGATTCCTCTTCCATCCTTCCTCAACCACTTCCTATCCTAAAGACTTTTACAAAATAGTGTTTGAATTTCTGGGAAGCGTCTCACTTGTGTGCCCAACAGGGTGTGGGGGGGGGGAGGCGCCCTGTGTGTTAATGATCATTAACCTGTCTCAGGGAGTGTATAATGACCCTAAACACTGGGCAGGTATTGATGGGTCACGACCAGAGAGAGCTGAAGGAGGGGGACAAGCGATCAACACCTGTGAACCGACGCACCTGTGAAGGTGCGTCTTGATTGTGCTGATTGTACCTGTAGGAGGGAGCTGTTAGCTCTTGGTCCCCGCCTTTCTAACCGTCGGTTGTCTAATGTACTGACTCCCAGCCTAATTTTTTCTCTGTCATATCTACTATATATATATTTCTTTCTCTCAGTATTGATCTCGTGTGTGTTGGGTAGATTGCCTTGGAGGAATCCTGATTTAAAGTATGATGTACTAAAATGAATTACGGCTCGCAAAATTGTCGTGGCGTTACGTTTTCTATTCGTAGGACTTAGATTAGGTTAGTTTCAGGCGGTTCAGAACATCATTTTGGTGACGATGTGAACGCTTGAGAGGACGGGCTGCTGTGAGTGAATGAGTGTACTCACTCATGAGTGTGTGTGTGTGTGTGTGTGTGTGTGTGTGTGTGTGTGTGTGTGTGTGTGTGTGTGTGTGTGTGTGTGTGTGTGTGGCCGTGAGTGTGCGTCCGTGCACATGTGCGTATTCACCGTGGCATTGTTGATTAAAAACTGTACCAACCTCCAGTTCATTAATTCCCTCGAGCAGGAATTTTTGTTTTTGTAATTCACATGAGTTAAATAATCACCAGAATTTGCATTAACCTTTTTATTAAACAAGTGAAAGGTTGAGAAATAGAACATCACCATCCCCTGATGTAGTCACAGATACATCAAATAGAACATCACCATCCCCTGATGAAGTCACAGATACATCAAATAGAACATCACCATCCCCTGATGTAGTCACAGATACATCAACTAGAACATCACCATCCCCGGATGTAGTCACAGATACATCAACTAGGGCATCACCATCCCCTGATGTAGTCACAGATACATCAAATAGAACATCACCATCCCCTGATGTAGTCACAGATACATCAACTAGAACATCACCATCCCCGGATGTAGTCACAGATACATCAACTAGAGCATCACCATCCCCTGATGTAGTCACAGATACATCAACTAGAGCATCACCATCCCCTGATGTAGTCACAGATACATCAAATAGAACATCACCATCACCTGATGTAGTCACAGAAGAATAAATTTAATCCTTTGATGGTGCGGGACCTGCAAAAGCTGATGACGATAAAGGCGAAACTCCCACGCCTCACAATGGAAAAATTTATCTTTTGTCTTTCTCTGTCACCGGCCGGTTTGTTGCCAAAACGGTTTAACAATTTTATTTTAACTTTCATACTGTTTCCTTGTTTCGTTTTCTGTTTTCTTTCCTGTTAACATGTTTTCTCGACTGTTCTGGTGTTCTGTTTCCTGTTCTCGTGTTCTCGTGTTCTGTTGCCTGTTCTCGTGTTCTGTTGCCTGTTCTCGTGTTCTGTTGCCTGTTCTCGTGTTCTGTTGCCTGTTCTCGTGTTCTGTTGCCTGTTCTCGTGTTCTGTTGCCTGTTCTCGTATTCTGTTGCCTGTTCTCGTGTTCTGTTGCCTGTTCTCGTGTTCTGTTGCCTGTTCTCGTGTTCTGTTTCATGTCCTTGCGTTCTGTTTACTCTCCTCTAGATATGCTTCATATTCTCATGTTTTGCTAGTTGTTCTCGTGTTCTGTTTCCTCTTTTCCTGTCGTCGTTGTGGTACCAAGAACATGTAGGGAATCTTGACCGGACCACACACTAGAAGGTGAAGGGACGATGACGTTTCGCTCCGTCCTGGACCATTCTCAAGTCGAGGTGAAGGGACGACGTCGTCCCTTCACCTTCTAGTGTGTGGTCTGGTCAACATTCTTCAGCCACGTTATTGTGACTCATCGCCTGCATGTGGGGAATCGTCTTGTCCTACTGCGAAATGTCAACAGTTGAACAGGTTGTTACAGCGTTGAGTCCGTTGTTAAAATGTGATGATCATCCAGAGGTCATCACACAGTGGTCAATATCAACCCATCAACCCGGGTGACAACGCTCAGGGGCCAATAGGACCTGCAGTAATGTTGACGTAAGAAATAGAGAGTCAACTCTCTTCCTTTTCCCAGGACGCACTGATGATGACAGATGGTGACACGGTCAAGATCAAACTTTACTCTCAATTCGATAATGGAACGAATGGAGGCTGATGGATTAAATAGTTTCCTTGGTGCATTTTAGGATTTGTCGCTCTGGAGTTACTTGAAGATGGATGTCTGTACTTCTGCGATGCCTTCCTGAACCTTATATGCCTTCGTGTGTGGTCAGGTAACGCAGAAAGATCTCAAAAAGAGATCATTAATACGAACAACAACGAACCACCGCCCCCCCCCCTCCTTCTCCTCTCCCAATAAGGCAGAAAATGAACAATTATTAACGTAACGAAAGGAGCCGATCGGCTGAGCGGACAGCACGCTGAACTTGTGATCCTGTGGTCCTGGGTTCGATCCCAGGCGCCGGCGAGAAACAATGGGCAGAGTTTCTTTCACCCTATGCCGCTGTTACCTAGCAGTAAAATAGGTACCTGGGTGTTAGTCAGCTGTCACGGGCTGCTTCCTAGGGGTAGAGGACTGGTCGAGGACCGGGCCACGGGGACACTAAAGCCCCGAAATTATCTCAAGATAACCTCAAGATTCCATTCACCTGGGCTCTAGGAGACTCGAACCCTGAACCCCACGTGTGTAAGGCCGAAGCTCACACACGTGGAGCTTTCTTGCTACAAAGCTTCGGAAAGAAATGAATCACTGAACGCTTAGAGAAAAATTGCTTTGCCTTGAAGGATAATACTTGAAGTCAAAGTACCTTAAGGTACGATTTATATTAAAGGTAGATCATACTTAACGAGCTTACTAGAGTTTTATGATGAGACGACAATAGTTGTTTAAACAGGAGCGAGAAGGGTGATTTGCCTGTTTTCCGTGACCGTCAGGAAGAGTTTGCCTCAGTCCCATACAAGTGGCTTCCATATAAGTTTAAAACCCAGGCTGACATTACTGAGTGCTGAGACAGATGAGAGAACATCAGCTGGGAAACAATGGAAGACGATCAAATGAGAGATGTGAGAGAGGCGACAATCTACATAGTACCCATATCTACAGATACTGATGGATACTGATGGATACTGATGGATACTGATGGATACTGATGGATTCTGATGAACTTCAACGAACATAGCGATGGGAGCCAACATGATGCTCTCCAGCGGAGGTCCCACAGATGGCTGTCTTCTCACACATCTCAGAAGAAATATGTGAGAAGAAGTCTTGTCACATATGCAGAAACACTCACATATGCAAAGAGAAGACGCCCCCCCCCCCTCCTTCCCCAAGGACACTACGGACTGAGAGGGAGGAAGCTTCCTGGACTGAAAAAAAAGGATCTCAGAGTTTATATTTTTTCTTTACATTCTTCAAGAAGACGAACCTCTCGTCTGAGGCAAATATAGTCTTTTGGCAGCCTTTAGGAACCTGGATGGTGAGGCCTATGAAACGTATGCAACCTACGTGCAACCATATCTTGTGTATGCAGCACCGGAATGGACCTCACAACTGAAAAGCAGAAAACTTTGATTGGACGGACCTACAGTGAAAGACTGAGTGACCTCAAACTCATCACCTGGGAGAGAAAAGCGCATCACAGTGAATTTCATGAGGATGTACAAAATGTTAATGAAAATTGACTGGGTGGATAAAATGGTAAAGTTCAAAATACTAAACGACAGGACCAGGAGACACGGGTGGAAGCCACAGACAGACAGACAGGAGCCTGGCAAACAACAGGAAAATCTTCTACACATCACAACAATAACAAGTAAACAGAACACCGAACAAGAGAAGGTCGTTCAAGATATATTCAAAAAAAACTTCAAAGGAAAATAGTAAAACAAAACATGACGAATGTAAACAAATGCAATATAATCAGAAGATAAAGAGGCGAGGCTAGGGAGCTATTACCTAAGCAAGTACACACAACTAGGAGAGTACAACCAGGGGAGTACAACCAGGGGAGTACAACCAGGGAAGTACAACCAGGGGAGTACAACCAGGGGAGTACAACCAGGCGAGTACAACCAGGGGAGTACAACCAGGCGAGTACAACCAGAGAGAGAAAGAGAGAGAGAGAGAGAGAGAGAGAGAGAGAGAGAGAGAGAGAGAGAGAGAGAGAGAGAGAGAGAGAGAGAGAGAGAGAGAGAGAGAGAGAGAGAGAGGAGAGAGAGAGCTGGGCACACACAGCGCAGCATAATCAGAACAAAATATAAGACTCGAGCAAATAAAGGACAGGCTTTCTCTGAGGCATAATTGGTCCCCAAGCTGCCTTTCACAGTCACCCTCTGGGGCTGCCTCTCACAGTGGCCCTCGGGGGCTGCCTCTCACAGTGGCCCTCGGGGGCTGCATCTCACAGTAACCCTCGGGGGGCTGCCTGCCTCTCACAGTCGCCCTCGGGGGGCTGCCTGCCTCTCACAGTAGCCCTCGGGGGGCTGCCTGCCTCTCACAGTAGCCCTCGGGGGGCTGCCTGCCTCTCACAGTAGCCCTCGGGGGGCTGCCTGCCTCTCACAGTCACCCTCGGGGGCTGCCTCTCACACACGCCCTCGGGGGCCGCCCAAACGTCTCCGCGCGAGTCTACCGTAATAGGTCTTGCTGGGAGAGAGAACACTTCGCCAACACCTCTATTGTAACAGAGGAACATGTCGCTTCCTTCTCCCTAGTATATAGCCAGGAGCACCCTGCTTCCTCCCCCTATATCAACATGATATGCTTATATACAAGTTGGAACCATCAACATGATATGCTTATATCATGTTGATATATCACCAAATATATATATATATGGTGGGTGGGGTGAGGGGTGGGAGGAGTGTTGTCACACCGGAAATCATGGTGAACAGGATGTAAATCACGCCACCGTGGTGATTTGCAAGTCTAATAGCGGGTTGGGAAATATCACGTGAAAAGCCGAGTAATATTTGATGGGGGCGAAGAGTGGTTGTGGGGAGTTAGAGAGAGAGAGAGAGAGAGAGAGAGAGAGAGAGAGAGAGAGAGAGAGAGAGAGAGAGAGAGAGAGAGAGAGAGAGAGAGAGAGAGAGAGAGAGAGAGAGAGAGAGAGAGAGAGAGTGAGAGTTCACTCTCCCTCACTCTCAAAAGAGTGAGAGTGGGCGGGTGGGCGTGGGGGCGCGTCATTAGGGCCGAGAGAGCCGCCAGCCGCTACAATAAAAAGTCATTAGCAGGCGAAAATACCCCGACCCCGCTGTGTGTGTGTGTGTGTGTGTGTGTGTGTGTGTGTGTGTGTGTGTGTGTGTACGAGCGCGTTTAAGAGAGTATGTCGGCGTTCATGTGTGTGTACATTCCTCCAGCCCACTTGGGTCAGTGTCATCCACTCCTAACCTTTGGTTCTACTGTTGCTCACTTTATAGCCTATACAGCTCATTAGTATTTTTTTTCAGTGACTCAAAGAAACTTATATGTCGTGATCATGTCTCCTCTCTATCTCATCTCTCAATATTTTCTCGTAGGTTGAGTCTACGTCTTAAAATAAATCTACGTGGTGTATGGTGTGCTTCCAGTAGCTTTGGGATATATATATATATATATATATATATATATATATATATATATATATATATATATATATATATATATATATATATATATATATATATATGCGAACAAGCCTGAATGGTCCCCAGGACTATATGCGAATGAAAACTCACACCCCAGAAGTGACTCGAACCCATACTCCCAGAAGCAACGCAACTGGTAACTACAGGGCGCCTTAATCCGCTTGACCATCACGGCCGTCAAAAGGAAGTGATAGCCGAGGCTATTTGAGCCACTTCCCCGACGGCAACTCGGATGGTAATCTTGGGCATAGCATTTCACCAAATCACCTCATTCTTTGGGGCACACGTGAGGAACACAAATGCGAACAAGCCTGAATGGTCCCCCAGGACTATATGCGAATGAAAACTCACACCCCAGAAGTGACTCGAACCCATACTCCCAGAAGCAACGCAACTGGTAACTACAGGGCGCCTTAATCCGCTTGACCATCACGGCCGTCAAAAGGAAGTGATAGCCGAGGCTATTTGAGCCACTTCCCCGACGGCAACTCGGATGGTAATCTTGGGCATAGCATTTCACC